ATCGAATTTCGGGACATGCATGACTTGACCAACAAGGTGGACAGATATGCGTCCTTGTTGAAAGAGGAGATGCAGAAGAAGACGGCCTCAAAGGGGACCTACTACAGGAATCCCATCGTCAGCTACGCCGAAGCAGACGGCTCCACAGAGGCCGAGGGCGATGAGGTCGAGATGAGTTCGGCCGAAGTCAGCATAGACAAACCCTTCGTTTGCAGAGGGCTTGTTAAAACTGACAATAGCCGCACAAAGGTCCCCGATGCCAAGTTCGCGACCCGAGAAACGAAGGCATAAACGTTTGATTTAACAAGGGCCGAGGCTATGTCCTTCGGCCATAAGACTCCAAAGCCCGAAGAGCTCAAAGGGAAAATGTTTTGCAAGTACCACAGTTCTTGGTCTCATAACACCAACAACTGCGTTGTCTCACGAGACGTTATCCAGAAATTGATAGACGAGAATAAGCTCCAGTTTCCGAAGAAGGCGGCCATGCAGGTCGACTCCAAGCCGTTCCCTCCACCTGTTGTTAACATGGTCGACGCCCAACTCCCCACTGGGGATAGAGGAGTTCGCGGTTAGGCGAAAGGAAAGGAGCCTTTGGCCGAACTTGAGCCGGCCCTTTGCGAACGATGCAATTGTAAGATCGGCCAGCCCGGGCCGCAGGAGAACAAGAGGAAAGCCGCCGAGCCATCTCGAACGACCGTAAAAATATTCGGTGGTCAGTACGGTCGACAGTCGACCAACAGAGCTTTTTTCAGCCGACTAGGGCAACAAAACCCCAGCGCCTCGGCCGACCACGAAGAAGAGGCCGCCCCAAGGTCGATAAAAACTTTCAAACCACCAGTCATAAAGGATGACCGTTGGTACCATGCACGGCCTGGGGGCAGGGCCGAACCACTGACAAAAACCCAGCTGAGAAGAATGCAGAGGCAGGTTCGGCAGGTTCAGCAGGCCAGGATGCAGACAACCGAGGTAGAGGACTTCAAACGCCAAAAGAAAGTGGCAACTGCTGACGGGCTGTCATCCAAACCAGTTGTCTCCCGGCCGTGAGAGCAGCCAGCACCAAGCCTTTGAGGGCGTGGCGCCCTAGGCAAGACGAAAGTCCCCATGGTTCGTCGACCATTTCAGCCCAGCCAAAGGCCGCGGTCATGGAAAGAACGGACGAAGGGACATCAAGGTCATCATGAATGAGTCTCACGAGGGGATTTGTGGTGCTCACCAGTCTGGGGTCAAAATGAGGTGGTTGGTTCGGAGGCACGGCTATTACTGGCCGACCAATTTGAAAGATTGCATCGAGTATCCGAAGGGATGTATCAAGTGTCAAATCTACGGCCCCATACAAAGGGTACCGGCCGAAGCCTTCCACCCGGTTACCAAACCATGGCCCCGTGGATCTGTACGGTATGACCCCTGAGAGCCGAGAAATCGTGGAGTTGGCCCTCAAGAACACAAAGGCAGAAGCACTCCTCATCACCAGTGGTTCTGACTCGGCCATTAAGGCCGTATACCAGGCAAACAGGGAGTCCAGGGCAAGAGGCCTGCAGAGTTACCAGCCCAACCTCGGTGGATTAGAGGCTAAAATCCCCTTCAGCAGGGGCGATTTGGAATATCTCCGCCGGTACTTTGCTGTGACGCCGGTAGACACGTTCTTTGGTTTGACGACTGAGTAAAAGGGCCGAGTAAGCCGCCTAGACGATTACCTAGCAGCCAGGGACGCATTGGCAGAAGCTAGACGGGCCCTCAAAAGGGAGGTCGAAACCTCATAACCTCCTGAGGTCAAAGCGTCCACAACCGATAGTCCGAGGGCCGTGAGGCTTATGGACGAGGGTTTCGGAGATCCTCTCTTCGGGCAT